GAGTGAAAATACTCAAAGACTAGTGTTTAAATCGGCTTTTTAGCACCATTGGAAATGTAATTTTACTTATAGAATGATCTTTCAAAGTCAATAAACACGAACCCTAACCAGAAACATAACAAAAAAGCTTTCTGAATATGTTGCAAAAGTGTCTAGACTCTATAAAGGGGTAGTTATTCATTACAGATGCAATTACATTGACTTTTTTATAGCTACATTGGAAAGATATTCTTTGTGAGAGAGCTAGATGCACAGGTAAAATGATGAACATACAGTATGTAAATCAATGATCTTTTTTTTAATAATTTCTTTCATATAACCTTTAGTTAAAAGTTGTTTTACACTTAAAACAAAATTTTTTACTAATTTAATTTAACTTTACTAAGCAAAGTTATTTGAAATCCTATCTTTTATTTACCTTCAAAATTTTGCACACTATGGATAACTTTTTATTATTAGCTTTTTTCATTATATAGGGTCTTTGCCTTAAAAAATCACCTTTTGACATTTCTGATTGGGTTAATTCAGATAAAAATAAACTTGAGTACCAGTTTATATTCATATGTTAATCATCTTTTACTTTTATTGATTCAATAGTTATTCAATAAACTATAGAATCAATACAGTAAAGTTAAAAGATGATTAATATATGAACATGAACCAATACTCGGGTTTATTTTTGTTTGAATTAACCTAATCAGAAATGTCAAAAGGTGATTTTCAAAGCAAAAACCCATATGCTTTGGGCAGAAATTAATTTTCTGCGCCAAAACATATAACTAAAAGCTCATAAATAGAAAGTTATCTATAATGCGCAAAATTTTGAGGATAAATAAAAGATAGCTACTTAAATCATATAGAGTTATAATAGTAATTAAAATACAATTCTACCTATAATTTGGGTCTTCATCTTCACTATCATACAAATTCATTATAACATCAATTTCATTTCTGAGTTCTCTTATAATTTCAACAACTGTTTCTAATTTTTTTGGTATTTTTGAAATAACAGATGTAGTAGTTGTAGGCTCAGTAGTTGTAGGCACGGTAGTTGTAGGCTCAGTAGTTGTAGGTTTAGTAGTTGTAGACATGATAGTTGTAGGCTCGATAG